AGCTCCCGTGTGGTAAAATATGGTATAGTATTTACCACATATTTATCATATCAACTGGCGTCACAGTTCACAGAAACCTCAAACTCTTGGGCTCAGGCGATTCTCTTGCCTTAGTCTCCTGAGTAGCTGGGACTACAGGTGCCTGCCACAATGCTTGGGTATTTTTTTTGTTGTTGTAGTCATCATTGTTGTCTAGCAGGCCCAGGCTGGGTTTGAACCTGCCAGCCCTGGTGTATATGCCCAGTGCCCTAACCACTGAACTATGGGTGCTGAGCCAACATGGTCATTCTTACTTGATGACTTCCACACTTATTTTTCATCTTTCTTTTAAATTTTTTACTTTGGGATAACTTTAGATTTACAGAAAAGATGAAGAGGTAATAGAGTCTCCTGCTCCAAATTCCCTAGTGGTCACATCCTGTTAAAAACAGGATAAATTCACATGGGCACCTCTCTTCAACTAAGCCCCAGACTTTACTGCAGCTTTCATTTTCCCCTAATGTCCTTTCCTGTCCCCGACCCCATTCAAGATACTACATGGCATATAGTTTTCTGTCTCTTAAAACCTATGACAGGGTCTTTCCTAGGGTTTTTTTTTTCATCTTCGTTTATTTTGAGACAGTGTTCGTTGTGTTGCCAAGACTATAGTGCTGTGGTGTGAGGCTAGCGCACAACCATCTCAAACTCATGAGCTCAAGTGATTCTTCTGCCTCATTCTCCCAAATAGCTGGAACTACAGTCACTGCCATGACACCCAATTAATTTTTCTATTTTTAATAGAGACAGGGCCTTGCTCTTGTTCAGGCTGGTCTCAAATTCCTGAGCTCCAGAGATCTCCCTGCCTCAGCCTCCCAGAGTGCTGGGATTACAGGTGTCAGCCACCTTGCCCAGGTGAGACTTCCTTTTTTTTTTTTTGAGACAGTGTCTCAAGCTGTCACCCTGGGTAGAGTGCTCTGGCATCACAGCTCACAGCAACCTCAAACTCTTGGGCTTAAGCAATTCTCCTGCCTCCACCTCCCAAGTAGCTGGGATTACAGGCACCTGCCACAACGCCCAGCTATTTTTTGGTTGTAGTTGTCATTGTTGTTTGGCAGGCCTGGGCTGGATTGGAACCTGTCAACTCTGGTGTATGTGGCTGGCACCCTAGCCACTGAGCTACAGGTGCTGAGCCAGACTTGTTTTTCATGACCTTGACAGTCTTGAAGGGGACCAGTCAGGTTTTCTATAAATGTCTCCTAATCTAGTTTTGCCTATTTTCTTTTCTTTTCTTTTTTTTTTTTTTGAGACAGAGTCTCACTTTGTTGCCCTCAGTAGAGTGCTATGGCATCACAGCTCACAGCAACCTCAAACTCCTGGATTCAAGTGATTCTTTGCCTCAGCCTTCCAAGTAGCTGAGACTACAGGTGCTGCCACAACGCCCAGCTATTTTTAGAAACAGGGTCTTGCTCTTCTTCAGGCTGGTCTCAAACCAGAGAGCTCATGCAATCCACTTGCCTAGGCCTCCCAGAGTGGTAGGATTACAGGTGTGAGTCACAATGCCCGGCCCTGGGTTTGCCTATTTTCTTGTGATTACACTGAAGTTATGAGTTTTCAGGAAGAACTTCCAGAGCCAAGGTGATCTCATCATATTCTGTCTGGCTACCTGTGACCCACAGGACCTCCCATGATGTTGACCTTGGCCACCTGGTCCATAGTCAATTACTGTCTTCCCTTTTCCCTGCCCTATTCTGTGGAAGCAAGTCACTAAATTCAGCCCACACTTGTTGGTAGTGTGTGTGGGGGTGTTATTTAAAAAATAAATTGGCTCGGCGCCTGTGGCTCAAGCGGCTAAGGCGCCAGCCACATACACCTAAGGTGGTGGGTTTGAATCCCCAGCCTGGGCCTGCCAAACAACAATGATGGCTGCAACCAAAAAATGGCCAGGCATTGCGGCGGGCGCCTGTAGTCCCGGCTATTTGGGAGGCTGAGGCAGGAGACTCGCTTGAGCCCAGGAGTTGGAGGTTGCTGTGAGCTG